CGGCACCGGAGGGGCTGTGTGCGGTGCTGCCTCCGCCGCCCCCGCCCGCCGGCACCTCCGGGCTCCCACACACACCTGGCTGGAGGACGGAGGGCCAGGACACCGTCTCCGCCCCGTGGTGACACAGAACTGTCACAGCGTGAGCTGGAAATCCGGGCTGCTCTGCCACTCCCCCCCCGTGCCATTAAAATATTAAGAAAGAAAAGGCACGTGCGGCGGGGACGGAGGGGCAGGACCCCGGGGCTGCTGCGGGACGTGTGCTCCAGTGATGCCACCAGCCTGGGGACAGGGCAGGGACACTCGGGCTGTGCATTAGGCCACAACCAGACGTGACCATGGGCAGTGACAAGACTGCTTGTCCCTCGTGGTCTGCTCCATAAGGGAGCCACAGCTGGGAGCCAAGCACCCTGTTCCCAGCACCCACATGGGCAGGATGGGTCATGCAATTACCACGGCTTTAATCTGGTTTTATTTATTGTTATTTCATGGTCATTTTCTTTTAATGAACCATCACTTTCATTTCTGCCCATAATAATTACACAATTACCTACCCTAGATGTATTCTGTAATAGCATCTCTGGTCATAAATTAGATCCTCCCTTTTAAATGCCATTGTAATTCAGCTTTAATGGTAACTTCTATTCTTTTTGTATGCAGAAATGGTGGACTTTGGTGAAAGCAAGAAGGAAAGCAACTCATTACAAACAAAATGTGATTGTTTTGCCCAGTTTTTATGGTTAAAGGGATTTACCTGGCTTTGGTTCACCATAACTCCACATTCCATGACCAGGAGTCACTCACCCACCCCATCACACCAGCAAAACCCCCACTGCCCAACAGGGGATTTTACACCTTCCAACTTCAGTGCTCACATGTATTTGCAGTTTTAACCTGTGTTTATAAAAGCCTCCCCATAAAGGTTTGTTAGCAGAGCTCTTCCCAGGAGGATGGGCCAGACAACCCTTCTGCTCCTGCTTCTGTGCTCCAGCTTCTCATTTTCAGCCAATTTTAAAAGGTTCAGCTGAGGGAGAACCAGACAGGACTGAGAAATCGCTCATTACAGCCACGCAATGAGTTCACTAACATGCCAAAGCCCTTTTAATTTGCTCCAAAAGGTGCAGCACAGAGATAAAGAAAAATCTGTCTCTGCTCTGCCTGTCTGTGGCTGAGCACGGTGCCAGACCTGCTGCTGGGCAGCCCGTGGGCACCACTGTCCCCATCAGTCCCACCAGGGAACCCGCTGTCCTGGTGTGCAGACACAAGGACTGCAGGACAGAGGGACACAGTCCAGCTCACCCCTTGCCCCAGGGCTGGGGGCAAATCTGGGGAGGGCAGAGCCCAGGGCAGGCGGGAGATGATGCTCTCACACGCACAGCAGATGAGAGATGCTTTTGCTGAGAAGATGCTGCTTTGTGCTCCAGCCCTGCTGGACCCAACGCAGGGCTGCCATGCTGGGTTTGTGTGTCTCACACCAGGGAAAAGCCAGGGCAGAACTGAAGCCCAGGCCCAGGGAGAGCCACAGGCTCCTCCAGAGCTCCCTGCAGGTGCCTCTCCTTTTGCTGAGCAGCAGGAAACTTCAAACCAGATAGGACTGAAAATACAAATCAGATATATGGTCTGTAATAACATCAAGAACAGAAAAGCCCCAGAGAGCCTGGAATTAGTTCCAGAGCTTCTGGCATGCTTCTACCTCCCATTTAACTGGTATTTCCTCACTAGAACCCTTTAAAAAAAAATAAAAATAAAAATCTTCTCACAGAACCATAAAAGCATTGTAAAAGCACAAGAGGTTTGAATCCTGCATGCAAAAATGAAATAAAAATGCTGTCCTACTCTGGCTGACCTTTAAGTGAGGAGCAGAACATGCCTTTTTATGGCACAACCTGAAATGACTTTTCTTGTGTGTCTCAGGGAGGTGTGGGCACTGCTGACATCTCCAGGGTAAAACACCCCTCTGCTTCCTGCTGGGGAGCTGCACAATGGGGAGAAGTTGGACACATGTGACTGCCAGGAAATGCCCACCCCCCACAGCAAAACCCCTTCCTCCAGGGCACTGAAATTGTGAATTGGGTCCAGGCAGAGCACAGGTGGGAGGCAGAGGTCCAGGCTCCAGCAGGAGGGGAGCCATGGGCTCCAGGGTCAGCTCAGCCCCAGGAAGCTGGAGGGAGGGATCTGCACTCCGTGCTCTCCAACAGCTCCACTACTAATATTTGCTAAATAATTAAAGTCTTAAAATCACTTCTGCCTTAGATGTTTGTATTATTTAAAAGAGTTTTGGAGAGAAGCAGGCTTGTTTTTATTGCTCATTATCACTGCATGTCAGTTGGGACGTTTCTGCTACCTTGCCACCTCAAGGCTCCCTGCTCTGTCTTTGTTGCACATGCAAGTGTGTGCACATCCATTAACTGCTCATGCAAATCCCATCACTTCAGAAAATGGGAGATGCCTGGGCTGTGTCAAGAACAGCTGAAGTGTTCTGCCACAGTGTGACTGAGGAACCTGCCACGGCTGGAGGACACAGGCCCAACACAGGACTGGTGCTGAGCAAGTCTTCCCACACACCAGGGAGCTGCTGCCTCCTCGAGAGAAGGTGGCTTCTGAAAATACTCCATCTTGATGTAAAGGCTGCACATCATGGAGAACCCATCACTTCCCCAGACCAGAAGGAATCTTGCAGAAGCATCTCACAAGTAAAGGCCATAGAGCTGCTGTCTTGGCTCCAAGCAGCCACATGTTGACCAGTAAATCTCTTACAAGATAATCAGAAATCTGTGCTCTTCATTCACTCAGAGAACCTCATTTCCTGAGAGCAAATCCCAGCTGACTAAATGTCTTTACTTCTGCTCTGGGTTGAGTGATGAATGTGAACAAAGGCAAAGATGGCCCTTTGATTATCAGCATTAGGGAGGTTCATCTGAAGATGCTGGGGCCACCTTTTGCAGCAGCTGCAGCCAGACCAGCAAGTCTTGTTCATCTCAGAGAGCTCATCACAGTACATGAAGGCCAAATCACTGGTGAATCGTTCTTTAACAAGGAGTCTCCTATTCCACTGCCAAATGACTTTATCTCCTCTCTCAATTCATGTCATTATTTAAATCCAGCCACATACCTCGGGAAGCACCACTCTGCCTGGACACATCAGCATCCCCATGTGCTGGGGGAGCACCGGGGATTCCATCCTCTTTCTGCAGCCAGATGTTCACAGTGCAGCAGTTCCCTGGGTTATGGGTCTCTGCATGTGGGCTCTCTGCTCAAAAAGTAGTGAGCCTGCAGTAACATTGTCACAATTAACTTCCTTTGCCATGGCTCATTTTTAGGCACCATACATGGTTTAACTGGGAATAAACACTATGCTCTGGATGCTGAAGGCCTGAAAATCCAGCCCAGGAGAGGAGGCAGCAGTCAGCACAGCCACCCAAAAGTCTGACAGCACCATAAACCAGGATGTGCAGAGAGAAGCCATGTTAATAGAGACACAGAGCAGGGTCACACTTTTCAGTATTTGCTCCTGTATGCCCTCTTTGCTGTGGGTTAGAATTTGCTTGAATAAAAAGTTCAAGATTTGACCCATTGTGGATAAGTGTATGTGAGCAAAAAGTCCCGAGTGCTCTGCCTGTGGGCAGGTGAACACACCAGCCTGTCCTCTCACACCTGGAGTGAGATTTATACATGATTCACAGCCCACAAGTACACCTGGGCATTTGCATTTAAACCTTGATGAGTTGCTGCTTTAATTAATGCCGGGTCTGACTCTTCCCTGAAGCAGCAGCTCTTGTCCAAGCCACTCCTGTTGGGAAGGAGGGGACTCCCTGGTCCCCAGCAGGTGCACACTACAACCTGAGACCCGCTGTGCTCATCCTCCCACCTAGAAGTGAGGGACAGACCCTCACTGAACCCTCAGCCCCTTGTAACTCCCACCCCAGGCAGCCCATGGAGACCCTGAGGCACCAGCAGTGTCAAGGGGTCCTGGGGTGATTGCACAGGAGCTGGACAGACATAGGGAGGACGTCGCTTCCCCTACCTGAATGGCTTCTGTGGTGGGTGGAGGCCAGTGTCAGTCTTCCCCACAGCGTGGTAAGGCAGAGAGTGAGCACAAAAACCCATCTGCTCAGGCTTTGTATGTCTCTCTCACTCATTCTACCAAAAACAAGAAGAGATGCTGAAGGGAGGGGGGTTGAGGAGGGCCAAGAGGTGCAGCCCCCAGCTCCGACCCTGCTGCATGTGGCCCCCGAGCACGGGCAGCCACGGGGACCGGGGGGGCCTGGCTGTGGGGACATGACCCTGGGAGAGAGGACACGCACCCAGGGATCACCCACTGCCCTTGGCTGAGCTTGGACTCCTCCAGCAGCACAGACCATGGCAGAGGAATCCCCAGAGCAGCAGCAGCACAGGCGAGCGGTGCTTACCTCTTACCGGGGCTTCACAGCAGCTCCTGCGCATCCGCCAGCGCCGGGGGGGCGGCCGGGGCTCTGCGGGGGGCAGACATCAGCGTGTCTGGGGGGAGACGGAGAGACGCTGTCACCAGTCTCCGCGTGGCAATGAGCCCCAACACTTGCACATCCCAGCAGCCTCCAGCAGAGCAGCCAGGCCCCGAGGCAGGTCAGCCTGTGCCCAGTGTCCTGGTCTCCCAGCTGCTGACCCGGGCAGGAGCACCGGAGCCGCCCCGTAGGAGCCAGATGTGCCCAGCCCCAGCTGCTGCCCACGGGACCCTGCAGGACACAGCCCTGGATCTGCAGCTGGACCCAGGAGCAGGCGCAGCACCGGCCTCCTCCATCCTGCACGGGACAGGGACGCGCTCCCAGCGCAAACTATATTTAGCTCAGGAAGGCTGAGCTATTTGCTATAGCCAAGGAAACATAAATAAATAATGGAGTTATCAATAATGCAGCCCGCGCTGTCCGTGCCGCACTCCAAGGGAAGCCACCGAGCGCCGGAGCCGAGCGGGCGGGCAGGAAGAGCCCGGGACAAGAGGCAGCATCCCCGGAGGGCCCAGCGCGATGCTCCTCCCGAGCACGGGCACGCCGGGCCCCGCTCCTGCACAAACGCCCACTAGGAAACACAGCCTCCCAGAAACTGCTGTTTTGACAGTTATCAACTTCCATCATCATGAGGCTTCAACTACAAATGTTTGGTCTGAGTTGGATTTTTTCAGCCTGGAGCATCATTCTGCAATGGGGAGTGAAGTTCTGGCACGTCAGGGCACTTGATGATTGAAACTAGTATTCTCTGCTCCGTTTGGAATTTTGTGGAATTTTTCAGTAAGATTTTTGCTAGCTGCTTTCTGCCATCTGGGTCTGAGCTGGGAGCTGAAGTAACTGCAAAGTGCCCAAATTTCTGAAGATAAATCTCAGTCATGGCTGGGAAGGGGAGAGATGCTGCCCCTCTGCAGGGGCCCATGTTCCTGCCCAAGTGCAGGGCCATGACCCACACCAGAGTCTCCCCAGCACAGATGCATGAGAACAGCTCCACACTGCCCTCCCGGACCCCAGCCACTCAGGTCAGCAGATGAAGAGACTTTTTCCTCCCTCTTCATTAAAGACACAGGTAGAACTGAACCCTCTGTCCAGGCTTGCTCCATCACAGCTTGGCTGGAACGCAGCCCAGCACCCCTCGGTGCTAATGAGGGATTCTCTGTCTTGCCAAATTATGTTCCAAGTCCTGTCAGTCTGAGCATTGTTTGTAAAGGTCCATGTGAGTTGGATCATTAGAGGCAGCAGAAAGAAATGGAGCGAGGTAGGGGGATGCTGGCACGTTGGTGGGTTTTCCATGCCGAGTAACACAAGCCCCCTGCCACAGCTCCAGCACTGAACCATTGTGCAAACCTGGCTCTACAGTTCTGCCAGTCTTCAGTAAGCTATTTTCATACTCCTGCACTTCTTGGAACTTGGGCTCTTTTGTTTGGTGTGGGAAGAGGTGCAGACTTTGGCACAAGAGAAGCAGGAAGTCAGATCATCTTAGCAAATGCGGGGACAGGCTGAGCACCCAGTCCCGTGGCCACCCTGCCCATCTCTGCCGTGCCACACAGCTGCCTGGCAAACCTCGTGACAGCAGTGGCTGAGGAAGGGCTGGGCCCTGGGAACACCCTGCCAGCTCCATGCCTGCAGGGAAGGTCGTTCCCTCACCCTGCAGCACAGCTCTGTGGGCTGCACAACAGGCGATGGCAGCAGCACAGAGGCTGCTGAGTCTCCGGATGAGCTGACGCCTCCTTGAAAGATCCTGATGAGCAAGGAGCCACCTCCACAGTCCCCCAGGAAGGCACAGCACAGGCTCTGGTACAGCTCTGCCTCCCACAGCCAAAGGGAGGACAAAAGCAGCAGGGCAGGCATGCCAGAGGGCATCTTCCTGCTATCCCAAGGCCAGAAAATCATCCATGTGCTAGATCCTGCCCTCTGGACAAGCAAGGAAAAGCTCAGGCACGCACAGGAGGTGAGGTTTGCTGCCAGGACCTCCAAGACACTCCACTGCTGGCCATCCTGGGAACAAACTGCAAGTGCTGAAGGTGGTTGGGGGCTCCTGGGGGGGCTGGTCAGCAAGATGCTGCCATCCTCTGAGAACAGACCAACAGCAGCAGCAGCCTTCACACCCACAGCTTCAGGTTCATCAACCCAAAGGGAAATCCCACCACAGAGGAGCTTGACCTGAGCCCCACAGCTCCAGGTTGAGTTGAGTCCTGTTGCACACTTCATTTTAGCTCTTATTCAGGATGCTCTGGCAGCAATCCAGCCCCACAGATGGGTTAGTGAGGGCAGCATGAGGAACATGCCCCCCAGCTTGGCAAAGACATGGCAGGGAAGCACACAGTAATGAAGAGGACTCCTTCCCTCAAGTGTGCTTGCTTGTCCTCTCAGCTGATTTATTTACAGCTCCTTGCTCATTCTTCCAGTGTCTGCAGCACTTCCTACCCAGCCAAGGTGAGCAGGAGAGTTTTGACTCTAATTCCACCCAAGCACGTGTCTGTTCCTGCTCCCTCACCCGGTGACTCCCACTGCCCTGCTGGCATTTTGCAGGCCAGCTGTGCTGACAGCTCAAACTTCAGATTCATCCAGTGTCAGGGACCCCTCCCTGGCAGAGCATGGCAGCTCATCAGGTGTGTCGAAACCTCAGGTGAACAGCAGCTCCATCAGTCTCACAGAAGAGGAAGGCAGAGAACTTGACAGCTCAAATCATCTTCCCAGGAGATGCAACATCCCACCTGTGCAGGCTCCTGGCTGGGGTGCAAGTGGCCCAGCACAGAGGGGCTCTCCCAGGGCAGGGGCACCCCAAGCCCCACCGGAGGGGATGGCTAACCAAGGAGTTACAGCAGAGAGCAGAGCAGAGGAAGGCTGAAGCCCACGTCCCATCCCGTCCTGCCTGCAGCTCTGGTGGCAGGGACAGCTCGCACCAACGGCTCGTCTCGATTTCCCCTCCCAGGGTGACGAAGCGACTTCACTTTTGGGCGCTCTCCCGCGGTGCTTCACCTCTCAAGAGGCTCCGCAGGACCAGCAGAATCCGCTCCCCAGCAGCGCCACCGGGCAGAGCTCAGCCCCGCAGCAGGGCCCGGCCAGACCCAGCGGTCAGACCAGGGTCCTGCTCGGGGCGAGCAGCCTTCGGGGGCACCGGCCCGGGGGTCACAGGGAACCGAGCCCAGGGCAGGACCCGCACGGAGAAACTTCATCCCGAGCCTTCCCGCACCGGGCCAACGGGGGGCCAGAGCAGCGCCGGGTCTCGGGGGGCCCAGCACCGCCCCAGGGGCGACACGGGACCGAGAGCCGCTGCACCGGGACCGAGAGCGG